GGGCCCTAATAAGAAACGGAGCAATTCCAATAGGGTCCTCACACCATCGGTGCTCGGGCCCTAATAATAAGAAACGGAGCAATTCCAATAGGGTCCTCACACCATCGGTGCTCGGGCCCTAATAATAAGAAACGGAGCAATTCCAATAGGGTCCTCACACCATCGGTGCTCGGGCCCTAATAATAAGAAACGGAGCAATTCCAATAGGGTCCTCACACCATCGGTGCTCGGGCCCTAAATATAACTGCAAGCAGTAATCATCAGGTCCAAGAACCAATGGCCCATGTGGATGATTAGCGATCCAACTGAAATGTATCTTATCATATGGTTTTTACAGTAAAGTTCATCTTGAACCTTCACTGACTGTTAGATTAAAATAGAAGTTTTTTTTTTTTACGGTTGTATGATATGTGATCATAATATGTGTGTTGTAGATGTTGACTCATATGAAACATTTACATTTAGATAAATCATATGTCACAGGACCACTTCATATCAATCTGAATATTTTAAGTGCAGCTCAAAACTTTAGTATTTATCTTAAGGCCCTTCTTATGTTTATCATTTATTTCTATATGTGTTGCCTTTTAAACACAGTAACAGTGTCAACTGTTGTGTTTAAACTCTAATGTTTTGCAATGTTTTGTAGAAACTAAATCCAAGAATGTAATAAATAATGTAATATTTTGCACAAATTATAGTATAATACTACAATGCAGAAATACTACACAGAACAAACTGTCATACTACTTAAGACAACATCTATGATTACTTATATGCTTGCAGTTTAGCACAGTGTTTAATTTAACCACAACACTAAAGATGTGTCTTAAAAAAATATTATTCTTATTTATCTTAAAAGAGACAAGAGACAAATTGTCGCATTGTAGTATCATCTCAAAGAGGCACAAAATCACTTTCACTGACTTTTATATTAACTGTTCCCTCCTGATAGAATGATCTGCCCAACTTGATCCGAGCAGCTGAGTCCTTAGCCATCTTCAAGAAACAGCTAAAAACACATCTCTTACATCTTCAATTGACCCTCTAACTCTAGCACTCTCTATTCTAATAAATAAAAAATTAAAAAACATGACCCTCTAACACCAGTGGTTCTCAAAGTGGGGGGCACGCCCACCGATGAGGCACGGGCCATCAGCAGAAAAAGAAAAAAATTTATAAAACAGTAAACAGCCAACGAATGTAGAATGGGAGATGGATCGGTTTGTGAAAGGGAAGAGAAAAGCCACAGATGAAGTCGCACAGAACCAGGCAGGTGCTGGTCATTCAAAAGCTAAATGCAGAAAATACGACGAGGCATATCTTGCTCTCGGCTTCAGAGGCTGTCTACACTGGACGCGACAAAGCGACCGTTGAAAATCATTTGAACTTTGTGTCAGTACGTCATAAATAGAACAAGACAGCACTTTACTGTTGGGGATTTGTTGCGTCACGCCGCACCGCATCCAGTGTACACAGCATCGCTGATTATAATGGGTTCTACTGTATTTTGTCATGGTTTTGATTGCTTCTATTGTCCTCATTTGTAAGTCGCTTTGAATAAAAGCGTCTGCTAAATGACTAAATGTAAACATTTATTGATCTATAATAATTTCACAGATTTCTATGTGCACTATTAATATGAAACTGTACTGTCAGTCCATAGTTCTCTGCAAGATCTATGCATTTATTTCCATTCAAAGTGATGGAAATTGATAGAATTTCGACCTAAAAGATTTATCCTGCATGTCCCTGTAGTGTGGTGGACAACACTTTCAGCTGAAATGCCTGATTTGCTGATAGCCTCCCAAGCATCATAAATTCATGAAACTAAGCATGTTTGCTCAAAATGACTTGTTCTCCCTATGTAGGCCATGATTAGCCGATGAAATTTGATTGGCTGCTTGTGGTCATGTTTTTTTAGTCATATTAGGAATATGTTAGGACGACAAACAAAGAAGCAGCATATTATTTTTCAACTTCAGCTATCATACGGTTGTGGAGTTATAGGAGTTTTAGTTGTACTTGGGTGGAATTTGATGAAAGATGGTTTGTGTCCTCATATCAAGTTTCTTTAGGCAGTTTTCTTTATCTGTATGGTTCAGTTTCATAGATATGGGAATCTCATTAGGTCTCATTACCCAATTTAACTGGTCAATATCACACTTTCTGATATTCTACATCCCACAGTAATAGTGTGCACTCTCAAGGCAGGTTTTTATTTTATGCAAAGTGACATACTCGATAACCTTTTAGGGTGTTGAAGTGAGATTTGATGTTAATGTGCAAATTGTTAGGGATGGACATTGATCTAGCAACTCAGCATGTATAAATATGTGACAAAGACAGATACACACCCTGGTGGGAGGGGTCTCTCCCATGTGGTGGTCTTTGTGTTATGATCCACATAGTAGACTCGTCCATGAGGCAGAATTCGCTGTTCCCAACTACAAGAAATGAAAAACACTGAGCAAACCGATATGGCATGTTTTCATGTTTAAATTCAGCCCCAGCTCTCTGACGTACCCAGCAGGCAATGCATCAGTGGTGTGTGTCTCTGTGGCTATACTGGTCTGATCGGTGGAGGATGGGGTCTCTGTGGCTGCTGGCAGGGCAGAACTGTCCATCCCAGCAGAGGGGGTTGAGCTCAGTGAGGGTGAAGACAGAGCTGGACGTGATAGATGACCACCCTCAATCCCATTAGCAGCCGTCTCACCTATACCTGAGCAAAGACCAACAAAAGTGTCAAATTAACACCATCATACCAAATCAGATCACTCAAAGAATGTTTACAAGGGCCTAAGTAGGGCGATAAATATATACTGAGTCATCATTTACTTACCCTCATGTGGTTCCAAACCCTTAAGACTTCGAAACACAAATTAAGATATTCTAAACAAAACCAGAGAGGATTCTGTCCCTCCATTAAAAGTTCAGGTAACCAAAACATAAAAGATTCAAATATGGGTTGTTAAAGGCATTATTTGAGCTTCCATGTTTGCCACATGTGATGCATTCTATGTGTGTCGATCATTTTTTTAAAACCTCTCACTGAAAAAATTTGGTGTAGAAACAATTTTCACTCAGAAATTGCTAATAAATTTCACAAATAATTACAAAGAAATGGTAAGTAACACATTAAATTAAATGTGAAATAGAAGAACTAAAGCAGCATTTTCTTGTAAAAAAAATTACTCCAATAACCTTTGTTTTATTTAAAACTTTGACAAATTATTATTATTTTTTTTTTTTTTTTTTGCAGAAACCTCTCCGGTTTCACAAAAAAATTCTTAATTTCTGTTTTGAAGATTAACATTAGTCTTATGGGTTTGAAACAACAGACTAGTGGGTCATGACAGAATTTTCATTTTTGGATGAACTTTCTGTTTAGGTGTCAATCAACAGAGATTTTGCTATATTTGCTATAACATATCCAACTATCAGTGGGCAGGAATTCTTAAAGCTACTGAAAAAGTCAGAGGAATAAAGAAGCATGGATGAATGAGAAAATAAAGGGCGGGATATGCTTATTATTAAAAGCACAAACATTTTTACTCTCTTAACACATTTTGTCAAAATAAAAGCACCTTTTGTGAATGAACATATTAGCTGGGTTTCCATCCAAATTTGCGAATTTACCTTATGCACAAAATTGGAATATCACTTAAAACATTTAAGAATAAGAACCGTTTCCATCCAAGGAGTCAAAGAGAACAAAATTGTCCCTTCCTGATAAACTGGCACTAAATATCACTAAGAAAAGTAGGAGAAGACACTCAATATAATAATTTTCATATATATAAATTACTTGCTCCTCAGAGCGAGCAGACGAAACAGTAAATGCGCACATTGCTTTTGGGGGTGTAAGCTGCTGTTTGGGAACACAGTCGTGTAAGACAGTTCTGGGAGGCAATTATTCAGAAACACTTTTGATGACAGACTTTGCTCGGGCATTTAAGAAAGACCATAAAAACATTTCCGATGCTGTGCAACGAGATCGGTCCGCTGGTTAGTCAGGTTTTGCCGTCTCATAGCACAGTCACATGATGCACATGGAGGAATTTATTCAGCAAATGCGTTTCCATCTCTCATTATTTGCATTAACCCTTTTTTGCACAAGTCAAAAAACACCTTAAGCGAGCGTAAAACCTTTTTTGCAAATTAAGGGAAAAAAAAATTTTTTTCTCGAAATTTGCCGTTTCCATCACTCGTTTCTGATGCAATACTTCAAAATGCGCATAAAAACAAGGTGATGGAAACATAGCTTTTGATTACAGTATTAGATTAAGATAAGCACTCATCACCTTATATCTGGGGGTGTAAGCTGCTGTTTGGGAACACAGTCGTGTAAGACAGTTCTGGGAGGCAATTATTCAGAAACACTTTTGATGACAGACTTTGCTCGGGCATTTAAGAAAGACCATAAAAACATTTCCGATGCTGTGCAACGAGATCGGTCCGCTGGTTAGTCAGGTTTTGCCGTCTCATAGCACAGTCACATGATGCACATGGAGGAATTTATTCAGCAAATGCGTTTCCATCTCTCATTATTTGCATTAACCCTTTTTTGCACAAGTCAAAAAACACCTTAAGCGAGCGTAAAACCTTTTTTGCAAATTAAGGGAAATTTTTTTTTTTTTCTCGAAATTTGCCGTTTCCATCACTCGTTTCTGATGCAATACTTCAAAATGCGCATAAAAACAAGGTGATGGAAACATAGCTTTTGATTACAGTATTAGATTAAGATAAGCACTCATCACCTTATATCTCAGTGTGTTATGATCATATTTCATAGCAGCCTGAGTGGGTTTGTATGTTTGTAATGTGTGTGTGTGTATCTGACCAGCGTCGCTCAGGCTGCTGATGGCCGTCTTTGAGTTGCGGCGGCATGTGTTGTCTGCAGCTTCTCCGTTCAGTTCACCATTAGTGAGAACAGCTCCTCTGACGTCAGCTGGAGAATCTCCACAAGAACCCACAGATGAATGAGCTAAACTTCTGAAAATATATGACAGATTCATTTCAGACACAGTATTGTTACTGTATGTATGCGCGCCGGTTATTTCTGTGTATTTCCTGTTATTCCTCTGTAAACCCACACACAGTGAATATGTTTAATTATGGGTGTGTCCAACCTATCTGTACATGGGGGCAAGTATTTTTAGTAAATATCCTGTAATACTCCCATGAAGGGTGCACACAATTTGCTAGATTGCCCAAGCCAATTCTATTATTTGGGATCTTAGTAAATCAGACCTAAGACTGACTAGACAATGTTTATCATTAACATTTCCAAGCAACACATTTGCTTGCCAATCATGATTATTTGGAGCATACTGGTGGGTTTGGCAACTCAGTTTCCAGTTTGACAGAATTGAAATTTTTGTCCTTTTAATTGTACAAGTAAGCAACAGAGTTTCTTAAAGGTAATTTTTTTATAAAAATTGTGCTCACCCACCCAAGCATGTTCTCTCAGCACAATTCAGTCATAAAAAAACATTGTGTGTGCAATGTTCCACATACAGTAACTGTGTGCAACAAAGCAGCTGATATGCTCTACTTTTGTCTTTATTTATTAATTGAATTATTTAACACTATTTTGCAACAGCTACAAATGTGGTTCTGGACTTGGTTCCAAATCAGAGAAAATAACCAAAAATTGTATGAAGCACCTTTCACTGTATTCAGTTCATTGTATTACTCAAAAATAGTGGTCATACCACTAACCCCTAACACCAACTTGTGATTCTTTAGCCCATTTAGTATATTATGCATTGAAAACAAGGTTTTGCTTACTAGGACATGAGCGAAAGCACAACAGAAGACATGAAACAGGAGAAGCAGAAAACACATTAAGAATATTCAGTGATAAGCAATTGAAAAAATGAAGATATTTGTGCTGACCGTCCACGGGGGCTGCTGGTACTCGGGGTCTCTTCACTATGAGCTCTGTGCAGATTAGACCTGCTCGAGTGAACTATCTCTGCACAGAAAAAAATACATAAAAGCATCATAAGTAAGTGCATTAGGAGTGATTCACATACATGCAGAAAAGTTTGTCATTCCTGCGTCACAGGGTGAAAACCAGAGCCATTTGATGCTTTTAAAACGACCTACTTTTCATGACCTATTACTGTATGTTTGATAATTTCACAATTACAAAAGCACAAAAACATGGGACATCTAATGCTGTAATGCTCCAAAGGGTAGAGAGACACCAAAGCACAACTTGTAAAGTGCCGGTCATAGTATTACTCAGAAAAACATTCTTGTGCATGTGCTGAAAATGCTGCAAGAGTATTAAAATGTGTTGAGTGTTACATACTGTACAATAGAAAACATTGAGAGAGCTGACAAACATACTATTACACGCATTAATTTACGATGCTCAGTTCTGGTTTAATTCTGATTATATCCAGTTTTCTGCATATACGTCAATAGATGTTATGAAGATGTTGTGTTAGTTCATGTTTTCAATAATTTGTGTAAGAAAGAAACCCTCATGTTGTTCCAAACATGTATGACTTCCTTTCTTTGAAAAACGAGAAGCTGAGCAAAATGTTCACACTGCTTTTCCATATAAACGTCATTGTGACCGTCCATATGACTTGTATGCTATATTTGAAGCCTGCCCATAATACTTATAATATTTCTGTCTGTTTCTCACACAAAGCAAAGTTATTATTCACAGAAAATCTTTTCCTCCTAGTTAGCTCTCAGACTTGTGCGATTTGAATATGAGCACAAGTCACAAGAAACAATGACATCTGACAATAATTTTGTCTAACACATCTGGAAGAGGCACATTTATAGATAGACAAATTTAAATAAGATTTGAGAGCTGTGGTGGAGGAGATAATGATTTAAATTTTGCTCTGTTCCTCACGCAAATCTGCTGATTAAATGGAAAAAATAGAGTGAACATTACACTAAAGTTCTGAAAATCATAGTTTGGAATCCCATAAGGGGAAAATTCTCATTTGTGGATAACCATTCATTTCATACTGACATTCATCTGAAATGAAATCAAATACATTTTGACTCCGCTTACGTTGTTGCTCTTAATTAATCGCGTTTGAATTTTTCCTTGTTTTCTTTAAGTAGTTTAACATGAAAGTGTCTGTTAATAAAAGGCTTGCAGTTGCAAGACTCAAATGGAGCAGCATTAAACCTTTTATTACAAAAGTCACAAGTTACTGTAAGAAAGTTTGAAGCTTAGTATGTTTGAGCACAAGTTTCTGTTTACTGAACGCGTGTGTGCCATTCTGTCTTACCCAGGCCTGTACACAAAGACCTGTTTATGTACTGCGTGTGTTTCAGAAAAAAACCGCCAGGGGAAATGAGGGAAAACATTAAACCAACAAGAGCGACTTCAGAGCGAACAGAGGACCCTAACAGACCTGCACACACTCCAACCTTTATCCACCGCTGAAGGTCAAATACAAACTCGCACGCTGAGAGAAAACACACTCCAGATCTTTATACTGTACGTGGCTAAAACCAGAATTTGAGAGCTCATCACAAAGCCAGTTGTTGTTCTGGTATGTTGTGAAGGACATTTATGTCAAACTGCCAATCTATTAAGAGAGAGAGTGTGTGTGTGTGTGTGTGTGTGTACAATGAGTAACTGAAAGACAAAGTCAGACAAATCACTGAAAAATAAACACAACAAAATCAAAAGCAACAGATTATTCATCTCTAGAACAACAGTAAAGTCCTTCATAGGCACATGCATAAGAAGCATTTACACTCAGAGCTTCTGTTGGTGTTTATTACAACCTCATTCATAGGTTAAGCAGCTACAACCCAATCTACCTAAATGGAAACAAAAACACTTCCAAATTCAAATTGTGTTTACAAAATAAGATTTTCACAAACATATGCAATACATGCAATCAACCAAAGCCACAGAAATTCCAGAATGACTAAAACTGTATGAATAGCATATTAAATGTCGGACTGACCATTATTTGCTCATCGATTAATCTGATGATATTTTCAGTTATGCAATATTGGTTATATAAATTCGCAGCTAGTTTTTTTCTCTTATAAATAACAATCTTTGTACATGAAACCCATTAAATAGCAGTAAAATCTTTTCCAGTAAATGTACTACATAGACTAATGCTTTCCGTCTTTTACCCAGACTGCTATTATTCACAGCTGTTTTCAAATCAGCATCCATCCAAATTAACAATATTTTTATTTGAGACAGAAAGTGGCTGGAGCAGTTCTGCAAATGTGTCAGAAATGACATCCGTCCACTAAAGGCACGACACGACTGCTACACACACACAACGCAATGGACACTCCAATGGGCTTCACTGATGATCCTCTGAGAGACAACTGATGCAAAAATGCTGTTATTTTCCAGGCTGTGTTGGTGAAAAATTGTCTTTGCTGCTTATGCACTTGGTCTTTTGTTCAAAATATTCACAGAATGTAACCTGTATTTAAGTTTAAAAAAAAAATTCTTTCTCCAAAACGTGTACCACAATTTCTGACAAAAAAAAAATTGTATCAGTTAAAATCTGAAACTAAAATACATTCCCATTAATTTTCTACAGTATGGTTTCTTTTGTGATTATGAATACTTTAGTGGTAAGGCATGACTTCCTGTTTCACTTGGGTATAAACGTGAGGTAACATCCAGGCCAAATTCCTCTTTCACTGTGTTGAAGAGCTACACAAATAGAAGAAAAAAGCTAAACTGTTGAAAATGCCCATTTCCACTATCAGAGCAATAATTCATTGGAGATGTTCAGCTTGGAAGAGGACATGTCTTCATTGACACCACACACAGTGAGGAGGATGACTTGAATGACCAAACAATGGGTTTCATGTACTAATAATTGCATGGATTATTTGTACTGATATGCAAATTCCGCCAGATTCACAAAAAGAGGCTGAATTAAATAAAGTATTAAATGCAGGGGTGCTGATATTTAATTAGATTTGATTTGTGTGTGCATGGGAGAGAGAGCAGGAAAAAGAGAGCACGCTTTGATAATCATCCTATTGCTACAAATATTTATTGTCTTTCTGATTTCTGATTTTTTTTTCTGTGGTAATTCTTTACCTGAAATAATTGTCAAACAAAGTGATATGGAACTGTACTAGTTAGAACTACTTTAGCTGTGCAATTATTGAAAATCAACTGTAAGCCAATCAGAATGGAGCATTCTAAAATGCTGTGGTATAATTAAGCAAAATGGCATGAAGGCTATGTGAGCATGAGAGAGAAGGGCTGTCAGAACAAACACAGCTGGCACTGTCTTCATTTCAAGTGCATTAGTCTACTCTATTGTGTGTGCTCTGTGTCCGCTGCAAGAATTCCAGTGTAATCTGAGACGACCCGTTACACATTGGGTATTATTATAGTCATCATAATCAATTATTAAATTCTGGAATCGACACACTGAATTTTCAGATGCATTTTACACCCTTTGTATATAATTGTGTAGAAATGCACTATTTGTGCACATCTTCCTTAGACCTTGAGTGTGAGTGCACACATCTTTATTATATTCAAAAAAAAAATTAAAGGTAAACAGTATTTTTATAAGTATCATTAATTATTAATGCACAAATAGCATTCAGGAATTAACATGTTTGAGCAGTCAGACCACATAAGAGTTTACATCCTGAATTAATCTTGCCTTTGTAAACATTCAAAAATATATTTTTAGAGACTTATTGACCTTGACAGTCATGATGTTTTAAAAAGATGAACGACTTTTAAATTGACATGTTAAAAAGATGATACGAATATCATTCACAATAACACATACATTAACAAAATAAACTGGGCCAATTTTGATTTAATGTCAACTTAAATACTACTGTAGTACTGTTGCAGTATTCATTTTGTAGTCTACAATAAGTCTGAATAAGTCAAATATGGTTAGGGTGTATAAAATTATAATATATAATATCATAATGGCTTTTTGGCAGGTGAAGGGTTTAGCCATGGGAACATTTTGGAGGCAAAATCTCAACCATACCCTCCTGAAAATAAAACACTTCAAAACAATAAAACACATATAAAACACTTCTGAAAATGTGTCCTTTAAATTTCAGCAGTTAAAAGACAACTCTAGACACATGTACAGTATACCACACATTCTCTATTTCTCTACCTGTGGCTTTGTATAAACATTAAATTGTTATAGGTTGACTGATCTTGCTATATATCATGGTTTGATGTCTCATGTTTGATGTTCATTTTACCAGCTAGAGACAATTGTTCAGTAACTAAACTCACGATACCAGTCTTCCTACAGTAACAGACTCATTTTAGTACCCCTGCACTGTCTAACTGACACATGGCTGCTTCCCAAAGCAACTTACTCCCAATCAGAAATGAGTGCATGAGTCTGAACAGATTAGGATTGTGAGTGGTCAAAATACCCAGTGACCTCCTGGGCTGTGTTTGTCAGCTGTGAGTACACAGAGGAGAAAAGCTCTCTTGTGAGCATTCGCTGGGCCTCCTCTGGTCAGAGTCGACTCTTTCCATCTCAACCCATCTCACCACAACCTCCTCGATTCCTGCATTTAGTTTAGGTGGAGTCACAGCCAAGGCTTTGCGCACTCATGAATGTGCATTTGTTCATGTGTTCTGTGTGTTCTACGAGTGTTTTCTATGAAGTGTGCATGTGTGTCTGTGAACAGGACTTACTGTCTGGGGCAGCGCTGCCACTGGGCAGAGATCCTAGATCAACAACCAGGCCGTCCAGACAGACGTTGAGCTCACCTCCTGCTACAACCGAGCCTTTGTTCTCTGTCTGTAGAAGCAGACTGAGCTGTACATTCTCCACTGCCAGTCAAAAAGATACACAGAGAGAGAGAGAGAGCTTTAGTGCTAGCAAATACATTAGTTTTTCAGTTTCTTAAAACCTAAATTTCATTTACATTCATAACATTTTATTTGACTGATTCTTGGTTTTGGCAACACACTCACTGGTTCATATTTTGTATTTTAAAATAGCAGGACAGAAGTGAAACTGGTTTAAAAGGGTTTGGGGGAGAGCTCAGCTGTTCATTTCAATCTATCCCATGTTAGCCTCACATACCTCTGAACATATGCTCACATAACAGCTGTCGGAAACTTATACAAGAACAGCAAACAGAAAAACATTATGTCTTTATCTTCTTAAGAAAACGTTAAAGAACAGTTCAGTCAAAATTAAAATTCTGTCATAATTTACCCTCATGTCATCCCAAACAGATTTCATCCATGGAACAAAAAAAGGACATTTTTGAAAAGTATCCTATCTTGTAAATGTAAAAAAAAAAAAAAAAAAGAAGACTTTATTGTGTTAGTCTTGAAAATTGCACCAGAGGCTGCTTCTCTGCACATCTGACAGGAACTTTGGATCTACATATAATCGTTTTCTGATGGCAAAAGTTCAAGAATTTCTCTAAACAATGTGAAGGAGACAGCTGACTCAGAAACAACTTGGAAAAAAAAAAATAGGACTAACATTGTGGAGTGACGCTGCTGAAATTCAAACCTCAAAACCTTTCAGGACAAACACTGCACTGAGCTGAAAGGAACTCGTGGTAAGTCTGTACAGACTTATTCCAAATCTTTTAGACTGGTAGAGTCAAAAGACCCAGCAATGCAGTAGTATTAATTACAGGAAGTCACATGTTTTCAATCAGAGACTTTTCCCCTTCTTGCATAAAATGCAAGAAAAAAATACCTGTTTTGTTTTAATGTCAGTTACAAGGTGTTATGAATGTCTGAGGTGATCAGCACTGATTTTAACCTTAATATTAGGGCTGGGAAAAACTACTTGATGATTTTTGTGATTAATAGTTGTTGTTTAACACATTAAAATAATGAAGGCAATTAACACAGCTTCTGTTTTTTCAATTCCTGAAGTAGCTACAGAGCTTAGTCAGGGTAGTGCCATATTCAGTGTTTGACAGGAATGAAAACAAGGCTGTGAGGGACAGAAGTACAGTGTTTTCAATGGACTGTACTGCTGTTTAACAACATGCCAATTGATTTCCTTAAAACATTTAGAAGAAGAAAAAAAACATTTAGTAGACAAACTCCACAAAACAGTTTTGAAAGTTGTTAGTTGTGAAAATTACAAGTAATTTAAGACTTTTATATGGTGCTTGTCATTGTAAAGACTAAGTTCATCCCTCACAGACTTGTTTTCAAACGGGGCTAATATACACACACACGGTGTGCTGTAATGCTACCCAAAAATCATGATCCTAACCTTTATCTCCATACCTGAACCTCTGATGGCCAGACAGGGATTCGTCTTCTATGAATTGTTCAAATATTTGGTGCCCGGAGACTGTAGTGCTCACCCAGTTCTTAAAAGCTTAGCTTACGTGTGATATGAATAAATAGTGCTTATAAACGGCTGTTCAGACCGTATTCTCAACTGAAACTAGCAGAGGCTTGGACCCAGAAACAGTATTGCTAATGTCAAATTATAAGCGGATATCTTTTCACCACACACTTTGGTTAGCATTACAGTAAATGATCATCCATGCACCGCTCACCAGCTCCACGAAGCGAGAAAGAGTGGACAAGCGAGGAAGGTTTGAGTGCACACAGCAGCCCTTACCACCCATTCCTCCTCTTTAAGCATAAATGAGGCTTTAAATGTTTATTTAATCATGAAAATGAATGTGCAAACTAAACTCTATAAAGTGGAGAAAAAAAAAAAACTGACAGCTTTCATTTAACACAAATAGCTGACAGAGACAGAAAATTCACCAAACACCTATATATTATTATATAATGGGATTATGTGAATATTGTTCATGTGGTTATAATATCTGATAATTTGCAGTTTAGACCTGGCTTTCAGTTATACTGTAATGTTGAATGGCTTACTTATTTTATCTCTGGGAATAAAATTAATTTAAGAGCTATCAGCATGAGTATTAAAAAAAGATGTATAATAAATTTATTTTTTTTAAATATTTCAATACTGTCTTCATGTTGTATCCACATTAACTTAATGTGAAAATATATTTATAAAAATATATGTATCAACATCCCTACTTATCATGAATTGCCGTTTTAATGGTAGGGCTGTGCAATTAATCGTATGTGATTGTCATGCGCATCTCGTCAGTAAAGCCGGTTCCGTGATTGGTAGTAAATCTCCATCACCTGCTTTCAGATGGAGCGGCGTAGCTTGTCAGTGAACTACGGCTCTGTGTATTAAATGCCGCTCCATCTGAAAGCAGGTGATGGAGATTTACTACCAATTAATTGCACACGATTCCACGATTAATTGCACAGCCCTATTTAATGGTGTTTGGAGTTGTGTCTGTTTTATATATATATATAAATGAAACTAAAACTTTAAATATGAAACTAAAACTTAATTAATGAGTCACTGAGTCAATTGTTTGGTTCAAACAGCTGATTAATTTAGGAACTAATTAAGTGACTGTCTTCATGAATGGAGGCGCACAACAATTCCACTGAGGATTTGCTTGGAACTATTTTGGTGAAATAGAGCAAAACCAGACAACATTACAATGCAACGCACAATAGTAACTTCTGTGCACTCACTCATGTGAAACTGCTCGAATATATCATGTAGAAATATAAGACTTATACAGGGGCATTTTTGCTCCTTATATATTGAATATACAGTATATTTAGATATTATATTAAATATATTATAATATATTTTTAGACATTTTAACTGCAATCTACTAGGCTACATCACACAGTAAAAGTGTGCACTCCCAAGGCAGGTTTTTGTTTGTTATTTTCAAAGTGAGTGACATACTCATAATGTCAGCATCCACGTCGTTAAAACAATTACGATACTGTCACAGATGTTCATGTTGTATCCACATTAACTTAATGTGAAAATATATTTATAAAAATATATGTATCAACATCCCTACTTATCATGAATTGCCGTTTTAATGGTAGGGCTGTGCAATTAATCGTATGTGATTGTCATGCGCATCTCGTCAGTAAAGCCGGTTCCGTGATTGGTAGTAAATCTCCATCACCTGCTTTCAGATGGAGCGGCGTAGCTTGTCAGTGAACTACGGCTCTGTGTATTAAATGCCGCTCCATCTGAAAGCAGGTGATGGAGATTTACTACCAATTAATTGCACACGATTCCACGATTAATTGCACAGCCCTATTTAATGGTGTTTGGAGTTGTGTCTGTTTGTGATGAACTTACTCTTGCCATCATGTGTTCGTAGAGTGTCCAGTAAGTCAATGGTGGCATTGCCCAGAAGTTCCTTCAGTTCCTTCCGACAACTCCACAACTTCAGATCCAAACGACTCTGAGGAGTCACGTTCCTGTATAAAAAAAATAAAAAAAGTTGAAAAAAAAATATATATAATAAGCTACCTCCATACAGTATGCAGTCATTTAATTAAGTCCCCTAGAGCTGACATGGCTTTTTAAAATAGATTTTTGTTTTCTTTTTTATTACTGTTTTTACTTGGTTACTGATTGCAGTTTCAGTAGTTTTAGGTCATTTGAAATTAAATAAGTAACTGATATATATATATATCGTAATGAGAGTCACATAATGCCTTACAGGGTGAGGTCTTCATTCCACTGCAGCTCTAGGTGTCCGGTGCATTTGCCTGTTTTCTTCGTTTCACTGGTCAGGCCGTCAGCGGTCACTTCCACAAATGAACTCAAACGAGAGTGACGATTGGGGAGTTTAGGAGACTGAGGCTTAGCAGACAACACTGTCAGATGAGCAGAACAGAACACAAACACTTTCAACTCTTAAACATCCTTAAAGAGAAGAATAGAAGTTCTGCAAAATTTCAATGAGAATTAGTACATTTCATTTTTGGCTAAGTTCTAAATTACTGTGAAGCAAACCATTACAGAGTTATACATCCCATAACATATTTACAATCAAAATGAACAAGAAGTAACAGTAATAACATCCAGTGGCGGCACTAGCATTTTGGGGGCCTTAAGCAAATTTTCTAAATGGGTTCTGTTTCACCTTACTGTGTGTTACTCTTACTCAGTATATTTATCTTTAAAGATAGATATATTTATTTCTGAAGCAAACTAACATGACACTTCAACGATTTTTTTTATATAAATGTATCCACTGTATGTGGAGAAATTTGGGACTGCAGCATTAAATACAATAAAATAATAGACAATAAAATAACGTATAAAGCAAACAAATGTTACAAAAATGGTTAAAGTGCAACTGAACACAACTATAACAATAGAATACAACAAACAATAGAATAATAATAAAGAATCAGAATTTTTTTTTAAACACTATCAAGATATCTTTTCTGGACTGGCATGTTTTAGTCCAGATTAAAATGTAAAAATATGTTTTATGTTCAAATATATGGCAACTTAAAGTGTTTGGTGTTGTTATAGCAAATATAAAAAAAGTTGTATGCAGCGTTGTAAATTTTTAACCGGTTGATGGAAAAGAAGCTAATGTGCGTTCTTCAATCTAAACAGATAACAAGGTATTTTAGAATTATTTTTGAAGTGCCCTACAATAACAATACTATGTATATATATATATATATATATATATATATATATATATATAAATGAAACTAAAACTTTAAATATGAAACTAAAACTTAATTAATGAGTCACTGAGTCAATTGTTTGGTTCAAACAGCTGATTAATTTAGGAACTAATTAAGTGACTGTCTTCATGAATGGAGGCGCACAACAATTCCACTGAGGATTTGCTTGGAACTATTTTGGTGAAATAGAGCAAAACCAGACAACATTACAATGCAACGCACAATAGTAACTTCTGTGCACTCACTCATGTGAAACTGCTCGAATATATCATGTAGAAATATAAGACTTATACAGGGGCATTTTTGCTCCTTATATATTGAATATACAGTATATTTAGATATTATATTATATTAAATATATTATAATATATTTTTAGACATTTTAACTGCAATCTACTAGGCTACATCACACAGTAAAAGTGTGCACTCCCAAGGCAGGTTTTTGTTTGTTATTTTCAAAGTGAGTGACATACTCATAATGTCAGCATCCACGTCGTTAAAACAATTACGATACTGTCACAGATGATGCACAGATGATACTGGTGAGCATGTGGGCCCTCTATGCACCCATTTATATGTGGCTTATCATGTGGGGCCAGCCCTGATAACATCGCAATAATGTTATGATAACACAGCACAAACTGCTTACTTCATTAAATTACTTTTTTCAAGAGGAGAAAACACAGTAAGACATCTTACTGTTGGCAAGACAGTTATGTAGAATGGATAACATATTTATATTACAAGCATTAAATAAGTCGCAAAGACTATGATTCCAAGATCAAAGAGTCAAGGTGCCAGGAAAAATGTATGATTTTGTCAAGCAGGAAATGTGAGTGAATGTGTCCTGACATGAACACCAGCTGATCTAGCAGCTCGCAGTTATAAAGTTATTATTCAGCACACATCACCCTCTAGAGGACACATGGCACAGTGCAAAAACACATGCAGGACTGATGCTGCAAGCTGATGCGTCATATGAGCTTTTAAATCACATCAATTCCAGATAAATCAATCACAGTGCTGATGCTCGATGGGACTGGATCAAAACAGGCTGGTTTTCTTACCTTTCAAGGTCAACTGTGATTTCTCTGAGGCCTGAACGTTGGCAGACTGAGACACACTGGCAGCTGCCATCATCACATCACATCACATCACAGCCCTGAAACACACACACAAATACATCACCAACTTCATTAGCATTCATATTTACTCAGCCACTGGAAATTATAATCAGAGGATAATAAACCGTGTGTGTTTACTTAGATCTTCATCTAACATTAAAACCCAGTGATCATCTGAAGCACAGACACATATTACAGTTCAATGCAGGAAGATTTTGCGCAAACTGTGAAAGAATCAAAAGAAAATGCCGAGTAATCCCATAATACATGCTTTATAAAAATGTGTCATAATGAAATATGTGAATATCCCAGTCTGACAGCTTCACAGGCCAGTAACTGATTTTGATGAGCAGACACAAACAAACAGCAATAATAAGTATTAAAGCGACGGTATACAGCAGGATCAGCTGATCATAACATCGCATTTCTCAACGGGAGATCATTTCTGAAGTTATTAAAGATGTATAATCATTGATCATTTTAAGTTTAATTTCGCATGATGAGTGAGATAGTGACGCTGTTTGACTAGCTGTACATCATACTTTTTAGATCAAAAGTCACAATATAGTTGAAATCGTCAAGAAGAACGCTTAATAAAAGCGGACAGGCTTATGTGTGATTTAACCGGTTTTCTGTTTATAATAACACAAAAAATGTTTTGATCTCTACCTTTTGTCTGCCGTGAGACTGTGAAGCGCTAGCTTTCATTTCCGCTTTAATGTCAGGGTCATGTGACTCACAGACCAGCGCCGCGGTGGATTATGGGTGCGGATGCTCCATACTGTCAGTGTGACAGGGGTGCATTTTCAGTTGTACTGCAGAACCTTAAAAATTTCGGTAACATTTTAAACATTCTACCAGACAAGTTCGGAAATGCCCATAAGTTTTTGACAAAATGTTCATAAATTGCATTGTGACATAGAGATCGATCTACGGAGGTTTTATACGTTTTAGACCTAAATGTTTTTATTGAAATGTTCAACGAGTATGGAGTACCACAAGGCTCAGTACTTTGCTTTTTACACTTTACATGTTACCCTTGGGAGATATCATCAAGAAGCATGGTGTGAGCTTTCACTGTTATGCTGATGATTCTTTTATTTTTATTTTTTTTATTGCAATTTTTAGAACAAAGAACATATAAGGGCAATATAATTGCACACGATTCCACGATTAATTGCACAGCCCTATTTAATGGTGTTTGGAGTTGTGTCTGTTTGTGATGAACTTACTCTTGCCATCATGTGTTCGTAGAGTGTCCAGTAAGTCAATGGTGGCATTGCCCAGAAGTTCCTTCCTCAATGTGTGACAACTCCACAACTTCAGATCCAAACGACTCTGAGGAGTCACGTTCCTGTATAAAAAAAGAATAAAAATTTGAAAAAAAAATATATATAATAAGCTACCTCCATACAGTATGCAGTCATTTAATTAAGTCCCCTAGAGCTGACATGGCTTTTTAAAATAGATTTTTGTTTTCTTTTTTATTACTGTTTTTACTTGGTTACTGATTGCAGTTTCAGTAGTTTTAGGTCATTTGAAATTAAATAAGTAACTGATATATATATATATCGTAATGAGAGTCACATAATGCCTTACAGGGTGAGGTCTTCATTCCACTGCAGCTCTAGGTGTCCGGTGCATTTGCCTGTTTTCTTCGTTTCACTGGTCAGGCCGTCAGCGGTCACTTCCACAAATGAACTCAAACGAGAGTGACGATTGGGGAGTTTAGGAGACTGAGGCTTAGCAGACAACACTGTCAGATGAGCAGAACAGAACACAAACACTTTCAACTCTTAAACATCCTTAAAGAGAAGAATAGAAGTTCTGCAAAATTTCAATGAGAATTAGTACATTTCATTTTTGGCTAAGTTCTAAATTACTGTGAAGCAAACCATTACAGAGTTATACATCCCATAACATATTTACAATCAAAATGAACAAGAAGTAACAGTAATAACATCCAGTGGCGGCACTAGCATTTTGGGGGCCTTAAGCAAATTTTCTAAATGGGTTCTGTTTCACCTTACTGTGTGTTACTCTTACTCAGTATATTTATCTTTAAAGATAGATATATTTATTTCTGAAGCAAACTAACATGACACTTCAACGATTTTTTTTATATAAATGTATCCACTGTATGTGGAGAAATTTGGGACTGCAGCATTAAATACAATAAAATAATAGACAATAAAATAACGTATAAAGCAAACAAATGTTACAAAAATGGTTAAAGTGCAACTGAACACAACTATAACAATAGAATACAACAAACAATAGAATAATAATAAAGAATCAGAATTTTTTTTTAAACACTATCAAGATATCTTTTCTGGACTGGCATGTTTTAGTCCAGATTAAAATGTAAAAATATGTTTTATGTTCAAATATATGGCAACTTAAAGTGTTTGGTGTTGTTATAGCAAATATAAAAAAAGTTGTATGCAGCGTTGTAAATTTTTAACCGGTTGATGGAAAAGAAGCTAATGTGCGTTCTTCAATCTAAACAGATAACAAGGTATTTTAGAATTATTTTTGAAGTGCCCTACAATAACAATACTATGCATGCAATGTACCGAAAGGTGACAGTGACATAGCTGCTTCATTGGCACAGCATCGTCAAATCACAGCGCTCATGAAATGCTGAATTAAACTGATAATAAATGATGCAGCAGCCGCCACTTCAATAAATGTGTATCATCATAATTCAACTACCCAACTACTGTCTTGCTTCTTTCTTTCATCATCTTCTTTTGTCTTTTTCCTCTTTTCTGCACCAGACTGATAGTGCTACCTCTGAGGGGTGCGAATTGACAAAATAAATGATGAATCTCAATCTTTTGTTTTTGTGTTGGTACCTATTTGTTCTAACCTTATTAGATGTATGCATCATTGATTATGTAAAATTATTACATTTAATAAATTTATTAAATTAGAACAACAAGACACTATAGGCTGATTCCAATCAAACTGAATCAGTATTAACAAAATCCATTTTTATGAAGTGGCACAGAAGCTAAAGCAGCATTTAGATGCAATAACACTGCAATTTAACTCACATAAATAAAGCTATGAGATAATATTTTGAATAATGAAATATGAAATTATAAAAAAAAAA